CGTCATGACGGCGCCGACTCCTTCTCGAATGCCGTCTGCAAACGGCCAGAGGTACAACTCATGCAGAGTGCGGTCGTCTGTTAAGCCAGTCAGCATCTAAAGTCTGCTACAAAGCCAGGTGGTCAACAAACCAATGTTGGAGCTGTAGCCCTGCTGGAGCGTGTTGTACATGCGGTACATCTCCTGCTCGTTTCCAATAAGATGCTTAATCGTAGCAATAACACCCTGCTCCTGGACGCCCTTGATAGTCAACGCAGCGGCTTTGCCCTGCAGGACGGGGTCGGAGCCGAAGCCTTCCCAGTTTCGACCGCCCCTCGGCTTGCGGCCGATGGGACCCACGCTCGGCCCAAGATATATGTTGGCGCCCTTGCCACGGAACTCCTTCCCCATGGCCACTCCTCGAGCGTACATCAAGTCCTTGTCCCAGGTGGCCCCGGTGGTTATACCGGACGGGAACACCGTGACGTTGTCAGCCTGACGGACGCCGGTTGCTGAGTCTGCAAGGCAAAGCTGAGGAAAGCCGACACGCTCGGCGCTGCCCGTGTTACCAACGCAGCGACTATGCAGGTTAGTTGATGTTCGCGATGTAGCCTCTCGAGTACGTACCCTGCGATGTGTTAGTCTAGCGCACTTCACGTTGAAACTCTTTCACATCTATCTTACCCATGAAAATGCCGGAGCCAGAGGTGATGTTGGTCTTCTCAGCCAGCGTCATCCTGTCAACGAGAGCTTTCGCCCTCTCATAGCTGTCCGCCCAGTCCGCCGTCCAGCCACCGAACGGCGCCGGGTAGTAAGACGCCGCAACATAGCCGGCGGGAACTTGCCTGACATCGATCGCAGCGGCATCACTCCACGACACCTGGCTCGCAAGCGCGACAAGGGCAAGAGACTTGATGCCGGCCATGGTGTTTGCCGACTTGTTCCGAGCTGGTGTGCTGAGAATAGCACTGGCAGAAACACACGCACAGAAACAGCAACTCAAAGCAACGGGGGAGCAGCAGCAGAGCAAGCTGGCAAAACACACAAACACTTGCGAATGGTATCGCGGCCATTACTACTTAACTTATACAAAAGTCGGGCAGAGTGGACACACCCACTCACGCAGATCTCCGGGCGCCCGTGCCAGCGCAAGATCCGGCGCCCTGCTTTCAATCTTTCAATACCATGGTTGCATTGCACTTGGGGTAGCGCCCATCCTCATGACTCTCCCGTGGGCTCACATCTCAGAACGCTTCCCCTTGCCTGTCACAAGGGAGAGCTGGCAGTGGGCAGCAGGAAAAGGGGTGGCCCGCGAAGCTGAACTGCGACAAGCAAGCGATCACCGCTTGGCGACGCATCAACGATGTATGTGACTGACGTCGGCCACGAAAGCACACAGCACACAGCACACATCCGTGTATGTGTGTGTACCCGAGCTGTTCGGGGGCGGAGAGAGGTGTAATGTCACGATAGCAACCGAAAGGGTCCATGAGCATCAAGCAGGCACATATAGGACAAGTCAAATATTGCAACGCATCAAGGTTGCGGCCTGTTCCTTTCGGGCAGCTGGCTTGGCCGTGAAGTCGGGCCTATGCGTGACCAAGAGATAAGTGTAGTGCGGCCGATCAGCATATCGCGTAGAGCGTAGCGTTAGAGTCGAGACTAGAGAAGAGTCGGTAAGCGGTATTCGCAGAGGGGTGGGCAAGGGACGTCTGGCAGAAGGCGGGGAAATGTGACCCATAGGGAACCATTCAAAGACGTTTCTAGAGCTTGGTATTCAGTCGGGTGAGGGACCGAGAGCTGCTGATTAGCTGGCTGGTTCGCTCGCTTCGGGCGGGAGTTGGTGTGTGGACTAGTTGGGGGTTCAACCTGGAAGCGAAGCGGCATTTCGTGTGTGGACGTTTGGGGGTCGCGTTGCGTTGCGTTGCGTTGCCAGTGACCGGAGGAATCTTCAAGTCCGTTGGGAAAAAAACACACTTGGGAGTAATGCAGTGGATATCATGAGATTAGGGGAACATGGACAGACGGACCCACGACCGAGGCCCAAAGCGATGACAGGTCCGGAGACGTTAACCGTAAATGTCGACATACCCCGTAAGGAGTGACAATAATTGCAGATCTCCCTCATTGCTGGAGAGATGCGAGGAATACGTGCAGCGCTGAGCGCACGCAGCCGGCTGGGGGGATGATCATCGCCCATCGAGCGGTCTGCTCTAGGAAGGCCGACCTCTGATCCGGCTCGGCTCCGAAGCGGGGAGGATGGAGTGGACGAAAGGTCGGTCACTGTTAAATCTGCATGCTGGTGTCGCATTGCGGGCGTGATCAACTGAGCAAAGCTGGCAGTTTTTCTTGATAATAGTGCATGCGCAATGGCAGAAATGGGTGTGTAACGACGGCGGTAGAGGTGGGAAACATCTTGACGCGTGACCACCCTTTTTTTGCTTCCCATGTCTTTATGGTCGGGCATACAGCTCTAATGAGACTAGAACGACTTAGAAGCGAACGAAGCGAAGAGCTCCAAGCGGTTGGAACCCCCAAACTCGGTCCGGCAGCGGGGACCAAAAACAGGGAACAGGGATGACACTGCACATATTTCGGCTCTTGACTGCACGGCAGACCAGGTTGATTGGTGTCGATACCGGCGGGATTCACTCACTGTGTGTTTTTTGGTGTTATTGTCGCGCGGGATGAAGAGCGAATACATAGTATCATCGAGGTGTTAATTATGGCGTGGCATTGGTGTTCTTGAATGCGACATATGACAGCGATTGAGGAGCTGTCGTGTGGTGTGTGAGTGGTCACCAAGTCGGCTGTCGGTGATAGTATTTGCAGATAATTGACTCAAAGATTGGATTATTATTGCAGGGGAGATCGGGAAAACCATGCCGGAGGTCGAAGCAAGATTCAGTGTGTAACGCTCAGATCAAGCAGCTAGTCGAGGTAGCTGTCCGTCAAGTTCAGATGGCTTCTAACCTCGTTGAGGCAAGACTCAGGGCGAGCAGGCTGAATGTCTCAACCCCGCGTTGTTTTTGGTTACCTCGTGAGCATCTGATCTACAGGCACCGGAAAGAAGGATGGATGGGAAAGTCAGAGATGGGTGACTGTAGAAGAGGGTTGATTATAGGTAGGCGGTGGATGTGACGAGAAGGAAGCTTCAACTGGCTGTGAGATAAAGCGGTAAAAGCAGGATGACATAGCTTTGCCGCCGAGCCAAGCCACTACTAACCTCTATTTCGCGCCGCTCTCTCGCATTGGCGTTGCATCTGCCACACTTCTTTAGCTGCTGCGGCTTCCCGTCTTCAGCCAGATATGCATACCCTTTGCACGATCCAACTTGGCGTCACTTCTCATCAGGCATTCTTGACGGGCAACATGCTCAGCTCACCGAACGCCCGACCTGCTTACTCGAATCGTCGGAGTCCGATATGAGCGCGGTCCGCGTGATGGCACGAGAGTGACGAGAGGGGGCCCCCTCATCATCGAGGGCGCTACCATAGCACCAATACACCGCAACGAAACATGCAAAGAGGGGTGAAGGAAAAACAACGCGTCGGTATTACGGCTCTTTTATTGATTAGTCTGATGGAGACATATCGAGTCTCGATCCGACTTTGATGTAAACGGCAATGATTTTGTTGAGCATCGGCGGGGACCTCGTCCGGGGGAACAAGTGACCACTGACGACCAGGACCAGCACCAGGCCAGGGATCGATGATGGATCGTTTCTTCTAGCCAGGAACCCGAACAAACAGCCCGCCTCGTTCGACCGCAAAGGGCCACCGGTTCGCCGTTGACCAGGACCCGGTGCTCCAGCTTTTGCCGTTGGCCTCGTTTTTTACACCATCGGTTTGCACGCTATTGTTTCGACGACACCCAACAGAAGTGGGAACTGCCCAGCTACACCCCGGTTTTGCGCTTCGACGAGTCCACCACCTAATCGACGTTGTTCAATAAGCGGCAAGCCCACTCACCGCGCTGCTTGGCTCACCTTGGCTCACGTGGCGCCTGATGCGACCCCGGCTTCTCAGACTGATTGCTCGAGGCAACTTTCTTTCCAAGTTTTGGCCCTCTGCCGCTCTCTCTGGCACACTCTACCACTGCTATTTTGAAAAGAAGTTCAAGGGGGCTCTTGGACGGTTGAAGGTTCGCACGGGCGTCTTAGTGTGTGTTACCATGTTACCGTCCCTCCGTCTCCGCGAGATGACATCCCATCTCGCCCACGTGGGTTGCCTCGAACATGATTCAAGTCAATACTATGGTAAGCAATTCTCCCTCTTTGGGCACCGAGTTCTGCGTGCTTCCAGTTCCACAACTGTGGTTAATATTGTTCAGGGAACAAGGCCTGATACGCCTGCCATCCGATTGAGGGCCACCTGATGGCCAATGCTGTGTCTCTCCCGCACGTTGGACCCCAGCTCAAGCCTGGGACTGGGACGTCTCGAGCCCGCTTCCCTGCCGATGGAGGCGCCGCCTCCAAAGACGCCAGCCATTCCCATCACCTCTCTCCAGTCTCCAGTCTCCTCCCCATCGCGACTGGCGCTTGCTTTCCCAATGCCGATTCCCGTGGGGACCTGTGCCTGGCGCGATCTCTCCAACATGCGGAGGACTTGCCGGAAAAGAGCAAGGTCTGGCGTATTGTTTGCTCTAGTGCGAGATTTTTGCCCATCTCCCCCGGCGTCCACGCAACACCGATGGCCGATGTGATTCGGCCACGAGGCCCAACCTCTCCGGGCAACCTGTTGGAGGCAGAGTGGATGTGACTACGGAGAACGGACTCTCACCGCAACCCTGACAAACTGCACCAGGGGTTACGACTCGCTGTCGATCCACCATGGCCTCTACACCCTGTTGGCGGGCTTCTTCAACGGCGTCTTACCTTACTTCGAATGTATAAGTTGTTTGCGGCTGCATCATGAGGGTGCAGATTTCCCCTCGATCTCCTGTCCGGTGTGCCCTACGAGCGAGTTCTCGAGAGATCCCATCACTGTTGCCCTGAGTCGTTGCTCTGTCCAGCCGTCACCATGTTGTCCAAGTTGGCCCTCATTCCTCTTCTGTCCGCCGCCGTCTCGGCATCTCCCATCGATGTCCGCGCCTCGGTGACCGACCTCAACGGCAGAGGTAAGCTCCCATATATCATGATGCTTCTTGCTCTTTCAAACGACCAACAGACTAAAAAAAAGCAGCCGTTTCAATCACCTCTGAGGACTTTGCCAACCTCGAGTTCTACACACAAGTACGTACAAACCTCCCAACACGTTCACCCCAGACCCCGAGTCTAACACACATGCGTGCAGTATGTCCAGTCGACTGGTTGCAACAGCGACGCCGCCGCCGGCGCGAGCATCGTCTGCAGCTCCGACGCCTGTCCCTCCGTCGAGGCCAACGGCGCCAAGGTCGTCGGCACCTTCTCCGGCCCCGTCTCCGGCGTCGAGGGCCTCGTTGCCACCGACCCCGTGAGGCAGAACATCGTCGTCGCCTGCCGCAGCTCCCACAACGTCCGCAACTGGATCACGAACCTCCTCTTCGGCTTCGAGGACTGCGACTTCGCCGACGGCTGCAAGATCCACTCGGGCTTCTCCAACGCCTGGGACGAGGTCAAGGACGAGATCATCGCCTCCGTCCAGGCCGCCAAGGCCGCCAACCCGGGCTTCAGCGTCGTCGCCACGGGACACTCCCTCGGCGGCGCCCTCGCCACCATCGCCGCCGCTGAGCTCCGCCGAGAAGGCTACCCGACCGACATCTACACCTATGGCAGCCCCCGCGTCGGCAACGCCGCCTTCACCGACTTCGTCACCGTCCAGGCCGGCGCCGAGTACCGCGTCACCCACGTCGACGACCCCGTCCCCCGCCTGCCCCCCATCTTCCTCGGCTACCGCCACACCAGCCCCGAGTACTGGCTGTCCACCGGCAGCACCACCACCGTCAACTACACCATCAGCGACGTCAAGATCTGCGAGGGCGACGCCAACACGAAGTGCAACGGCGGCACCTTCGGCCTCAACATCGACGCCCACGGCTACTACTTCAGCAAAACCGGCGCCTGCAACACCGACGGCTTCGAGTTCCGCGAGAGGGAGGAGGAGATTTCCGACGCCGACCTCGAGAACCGCCTCAAGACCTGGGCGCAGATGGACGTTGAGTTCTCCAAGGGTCTGGGCTTTTAAGTAAACAACACGAGGAGTGACGACGAGTTGAAAGGGAGCATCAGGGCAACATCATGACCGCGTTATGATCACAAAGGGCAGGCAGGAAGCGGGCTTCTGGAGTTTTTGGGAAGGAAGCAAGGACCTAAAAGATACCACTTGAGGACGCGGGGGAAAAGGGATGTAAACGTCCTCGTGGCCGGGGCATTATCATCGTTCAGATGATGCTATTCACGTATATAATTATTGTACTACATAATCCAACACCAAACAATTGCCCGGCGCGCTCACAACATATTTCTCCCATCCTCCTCCCATCAATCAACGACTTCCACCGCGATGTGGTCGGTCCCAACGGGGTCCCGAGCCTTCCACTCGCTCACATCAGGCTGCGCTTACGAAACGCGCCGTCGGTTTGGTTCCGGGGCAAATGCATCTGACTGACTCGCCACAATATTGCGCAAAGAGGCGAAAGCTGACGATAAGACTGGGGTCGTCGTTACCAATTGAGCGCGGCTGACCTAAATCAGGGTCTTAACAAGAAGAGTAAGTGTTTCGTCTCCTAGGGTCCCAGAAAGGCATGGCTTTTGTTCCATGTAAATGAGCTGCAACGTCCTGCGCTTGGCAAAGTATTGAAATAAAGTTGCAACCGTTCACCTGAAGGTGTGGAACCATCACCAACACAATCCACGTTCATGGAGCACTTGATGCTACCTAATAACTGGACCCGTCGCCCAGTTTTCCATTGTGAGATAATGTAGAAAGCGTCTTTGCTAAGACTCTATCTAGCTGAATGCAATTCTGAGAGTCATACTCATACAGGTTTATAAAGTGCCACTCCATGATAGCAGCCATAATGCTGCCGTAGAAAGGGGTATAACGAAAACGACGAATGCTCGATCCGGGTACGCCCCAGCCGAGGCCAATTCAACCTTTCTTTCCTAACGCCCCATAGAAACCCTAAAAATAAGTTCTCAAAAAAGAACACTGGAAAAGAGCTGTAAGCCACATCATCTAAGAGCCTCGGAAAAGGAACTGCATGTCCTCCGGACTGAGGGACTCCATTGCTTTCTCGTCGGAGTTGACGGTAGAGTTGATCATGTTTGTCTTCTTCTCCTGAATCAGAACCATACGACTCTCAACAGAGTCTTCGATGCAGAGACGAGTGATGGTGCAAGGACGAGTTTGACCGATGCGGTGGCAGCGGTCCGCGGACTGCCATTCCGCTGCAGGGTTCCACCAACTGATAATCGGCAAATCAGCAAAAGCCAACAAGTCGGGGCGAGGGACAAAAAACTTACGGGTCAACGATGAAGACACGGGATGCCTCAGTGAGGTTCAAAGCCACGCCACCGGCTTTGAGAGATACAAGGAAGCATTCGACCTCGGGCTTCGTCATGAAGCAATTGATGGATGCTTGACGCTGCGCGGGGCTCATGCTACCGTCCAGCATCACAGTGGTAATGCCAGCGCGACGAAGGCGCCACTCAATCAACTGCAGCATAGACGAGAACTGCGAGAAGATGATGGACTTGTGAGAGGCGTTGTTGGAACGCAGCTTGTGGAGCTCATGAACAAGCAGCTCAATCTTGGAAGAAGATGTCCAGTTCTCCATCTTGATGCGGTTGATGATGGACGACTTCTTGACTTGCGTCTCATCCTGCTCGATTTCGGGCTGCTCAAGATCGATCGCCAAACTAATGTGGCACTGCGGGCAATCAGGCTGGTCAGACTGCATAAGATAGCTTCTAGCACACGCACGGCAGAAGTCGTGCTTGCAGCGGCTCCTGACTGCATCTTCGGCAGCCTCATCACAGATACAGCAGACGAGAGTGTTCTGGCCACCCTCGGCGTTCTTCTTGAGGATGAGATCGGGGTGATCGGCGACTTGGCGCATCTGCATAATGAGTCCGAAGATGTTGGCGTAGTTGTTGAGCAAAACACCCTGGGAGACGTACGTCTCGAACTTGCGCTGACCATTGGTCATGATACTGTTGGCGAAGTCATTCTCTACTTCGCCAAAGAACTGTCGGTTGACGTAGATCTCCTTGACGGGAAGCTCCATCGCATTGGTATGATCCTTCTTCTGGCGACGAAGCATGATACGACCGGTCATTAGACGAAGCTTCTCGAAAGCCTCGGCCCCCGGGCCATAGTTGCCAAACTTCTGAATGGGGTTGAGAAGCTCTTGGTTGAAGACGGACACATGCTGCATACCAGCATGGTTGCAGCTCTTGCAGCGGTGGTCGTCATCCAGACTCCATTCCAAGCCAGCACAAGGGCACTGCTTGCACAAGTAGGATGCGTATGGCGTAATTTCGAGAAAGCGAATCAAAGAGAAGAATTCGCCGATGCGGTTCTGGAGGGGAGTGCCAGTCAAGCACCATCTGTACTGCGTCTTCAGAGCGAAGCAAGCCTTGGCCGTCATGGTGGTTCGCACCTTGATGCTGTGAGCCTCATCGAGAATAACGCGGTGGAAGTCGATCTGGTGAATCAAGCTCTCTTCCTTGTGAATGCCGTCCTTGCGGGTGAAACCCTTCTCTTGCTTGCGGAACATGGACTCGAGACTGTTGTAGGACATCATGATGACATCAAACTTCTTAAGCTCTTTGAGGGTCATCTGCTTTGCCTTGGCGAGGGAACCATGGTAAACGAAAGTCTTGAGAGTGCCGTCGGTGTAAGAGGCAATTTCAGCCTGCCATTGCATCAAAGCGACCGGTGGGACCAGAACAAGAGAGGGCTTCTTAGCAGGATAGTCGGACATTATCAACGACACTGCTTGAATGGTCTTGCCAAGGCCCATCTCATCCCCAAGAAGACCACCCTTGTAGTCCGTCTTCTCCATGGCGATCATCCACGCGACACCCTCGAGTTGGAAAGGCTTGAGTTGACGAGAGATTTGCGCTGGCTGGGCGATCTTCTCAGGCCTTATGGGAGGAAGGGCCCGAAGCTCATCCCACATCGTCTTAATCTCTGGATGGTGCAGCTCGAGCCTGTTACGCTCCATCCTGCCTCGGCGACGAGAGCCGTGCTGATAAGCGCGGCGGTGACGAGACTGTCTGGCGATGGCGGCTTGCAGATCACCATTGTCATTGTCGTTGTCATCGCTCGACTCAGTTGTGACAGAGGCCTCATCCGTGTATTCATCCTCGTCGATGCTGGATTCTGGAAGCATTTGAGGAGTAGGACGGCGCGTGGACTGTCTGGCAGGCTTCTTAGCCGACTTCTTGACAGGTTTCGATGTCTTCTTTGGCGGGCCGTAAATGTCCTCCGAGTCGCTATCTTGGTTGGACAGTGACAATTCCGACAGAGAAGAATCAGAGTCGTCGGCGATATTGGAGGTCTTTTGCTTCTTTATGGCAGGCTTCTTGGCGGAAGCTGCGTTCTTAGGACGGCCACGACCTCGTGCAGCAAGAGGCTCGTCATCGGAATCAGCCTCACTAAGGCCAGCAGCGGAAGACTGGACAGTCTGTGACTTCAGGTTGCGTCGACCGCGCAGCGAGTTACCCACCGCCAGCGGAATCTGAGTGTACTCTTCTTGCTGCAATCGCAAGGCGAGATCAGCATCAGAAACTCCACTGGTGCTCTTGGCACCGAGCTTGCTGTCTTCTTCCTTCTGGAGGCGGCCAGCAACAATGGGATCAGGAGAGCCGTCTGAATAAAGTTCGTCGTCTTCGCTGTCTCCAAGCTCGAAATGCTTGCGCTTGGGCTGGGCAGAAACACCATTGGTGCTCTTGACATCGAGCTTGCTGTCTTCTTCCTTCTGGAGGCGGCGAGCGACGATGGCATCAGGAGAGTTGTCTGAGTAAAGTTCGTCGTCTTCGCTGTCTCCGAGCTCGAAACGCTTGCGCTTGGGCTGGGGGTTGAGTGAGTACTTGCTATGTCGCAGAGCGCGCTCGCGAGAGAGATCCGCGGCAGTTGGGAGTGCTATCTCGAAATTTGCAGCCGACTTGCGAGAGCGCGTGGTCTGCCTCAAACCTCCACCAGCTGCTACAGACGGAGCCGGGGTAGCGACATTGCTGGTGGCGGGAGTCGAATCCTCGCTAGCTGAAGTAAAATCGGCAGAGGCCGCAGCAGAAGGGGCCGAGGAGACGGACTCGGCGGTGGCAGCAACCGATTTGCGAGGTCTGCCGCGACCTCTAGGGGCAGCAGTGGGTGTCGAGGTGTCAACCTTGGGAGCTTGGGGACCTGGCAGATTCTTGGATGAAGCAGATCTAGTGAGACGACCAGTAGTGGAGGCCAGGTCGGGGGAATCTGAAGACCGCGTTAGTATTTCGATACTAGCATTGCCTCTGGTCGCACGGCAGCATCTTTTTGAGATGGAAGATGGAGTTGCGATTAAAAAAAAAATAAGAGACTCAGATCGGGGTACTCACTGGTTCGGGTGGAAGCCAAGCTCTCAGCAAGAGAAGGACGACCACAACCACGACAGCCGGTCATTTTTGCAGCTGTCTTTTTTGGCTCGGACTTCCGGTCGAAGAGGAAGGAGATGATGAGAGTCGTGATCTCACAAGAAAAGGATGAAATAGCCTTCTCAATAGTGTGATTCACGCGGAGGTGAAGGTTTGACACCGGACAGACAGAAAAGTTGGGATGGGGGAAGGGCGGGACAAAGCTCGGGATGTGTGTGTGGCAAACCGTAGCGTCTCAGTCGCTTATCGCCGAAAGTAAGCACCCTGGCTGGTACAGCTGCCGGTTGACAGATTGGGCAGTGGGAAGGGGAACTGTGACGTGAGCAGCAGGAGCAGGAAATTGCTGCAGTCTGCTGTGGATGCGAGAAAAAAGGAAGAAGAAAAAAAGAAGATGGGTGACAGAGAAAAGTGAGTGGTGAATGGCGATTGCCACCTGTCTGCTGCTACTCCTTTTTGTCCAAGCTGAAAGGCCAATCGCAAGAGGAAAGTGGGAGAGAATCTGGAACGCGCTGAGAGTAACCCCAAAAGTCGGCCTCACGAAAAAAGAGGACCCTCTACGCGCAGTCACATGACCTTCCCGAGGTCCTGTCAAGGGAGGAAGGCGTCTAGAAGGTGTGTCTGCCTGAAGTTTGGGCTTAGAAGGGTTAGCTGGTGTGCTGGTCTCTTTGAGCCTGCAGGGTGCTTTGAGTACCTACCTACCTAGGCGGGCGAAAGCAAATGGAAGAATGGAAGCATGCAAGCACTTAGACAGCCTCCGCTGGGTGGATACTGCCGGACTTTTTACAATTCAATTGCCTCTCAAAAATTGCAAAAGGAGGGTATTTTTGCATTTCAACCTTCTCATATTGTAATTGCAGCAAGAAAACCTTCAGTCGAATAGCCTGCTGCCAAAGAGTGATGACGCTTCAAGCTGCAGAACAACCTCTCGATCTCCACGCCCCTGAAGCTCCAGCGAAGCAGTTCGATTTGGGGCGATCGATCACCCCGGCCGGTCCCCGACGTCTCCGGTGCAGTGGCTCCTGCCCCACGCCTTCCCGTTGACTTGCCTACCCCACTTCAATTAAACCCCCTGGCAGCTGCCTGGCGTACGGTGTGCATCTTGCAGCTAGAAAACCACTTTACACGGTATGAGTTCACCACTATCCTCTGTAAAGTCGCCGAATGGATAAGATTAGCGATCAATTGCACAGTGTGACTGCAAAGTGGATCCCACCAGAGGCCGAAGGGATAGACGGCAGGTAGGTATCTGGAAAGAAGGCCATCGAGAAGGAAACCACCCCTTGGCCTGTCTGTATCGACGTCTTTGTCGCCTTCCCAATTTGCCCCCCAAGACATCACGATTTTTTCCCCCTTCAGACTCGCCCAGACGCGTCTCAAGGCAGTGTAAACACAAGGACGGCATTGACAAACACCATCCGACTTTGCCATCAATTTATCCATTTGAGGTTAGTCTCTCTCTCTCCCATCCCCTACTTTCCGCCCATTCGCAATATTGTTTGCTTCCTTCGCCACTCTGGAGGCACTCACCTAGAGGCACTCACATCTGGAGGATCTTTCCATCCACACCAAGTCTCCAAGTCTTCAATACTGATTTCTCTTTTCTGTCATCCACTGCAGGCTGTCCTAGCTGCGGAATTTATCAAAGCAATCAAGCATTTGAGAAGACCATACGCTTCTCTGTTGCAAACAGCTAGATTGAGATCAAAAAATCTCACAGCTGCTTAAGCAACACCATCCGGTATGGCGCGGCCTTCTCGTCGTAGAGGTCAGCAGGCGAACCAGCCTCAGCCTCAAGCACAGGGTCAGAATGGGAACCAGCCCCAGCCTGCCCAGCAGAATCAAGCTCCTCAGCAAGCCCAACCCGCTCAGCAGAACATGGCACCGGCTAATGTCCGCCGCCACATCTCTGGACCGTGAGTACTCACTCATTGTGATCTTATGTTCTTAGTTGCTAATGTTTTTCACAGGCAGTCAGCTTTGACTGATTATCTGGCCGTGAGATTTCCTTTCATGATTATCGCATGGCGCATACACTGACCACTGCCACAGTCTCACAACATCTCTGCCAACCAGATCCGCCGAGATGCTGATCGTCGTCGCGCTGCTGCTGCTGAAAGCCAGCAGCAGAACCAGCCGGACGAGGAAACTGACGAAGAAGCCAGTCAACCTGCTGCAAGTACTCGCAAGGAGACAGAAGCTGAGAAGAAAAAGCGCCTTCTGAAAGAGAAGCAGGCCATTGCCAAGATCAAAGCTTCCAAGAAGTTCAAGAAGCGGAAGCGCGACGCAGGCGATTCCGAGGACGACGATGACATCGCTCGCGCCTTGATGGAGCAAATGTCTCAGCCCCTACCGGGCCAGATGGACAACTGCGAAATTTGCAAGAAGCGTTTTACGGTGACGCCCTACTCCAAGACTGGCCCTGACGGTGGCTTGCTCTGCGCCAAATGTAGCAAAGAGGCTGCTGCCAATGACAAACAACCAAACAAGAAGCCTCGGAAGGCTGCTGCAGGAGGCGGAGGTCGCCGAAAGGTCCAGAGCAACATCCTCGACGGAACTTACCACACTGGCGCGAAGAGATTGACAACACTCTGCATAGAGACCTTGGCCAAGAATGTCGACCTCGCAGACAGCCTCGGAGAGCTCCCTGACCATATCGTCGATAGAATCGCTCGATTGTTCTCCAAGCGTCGGCTCTTGAACCCGCAAACCCTGGCACTCTTCCTACAACCCTCTTCCTCGTTCATCAATATCTATGATGGCGCAAAGCTGGGCATGGATGATTACATCGGAATCTTCCAGGTTGCGGCGAACCTGAAAGGATTCAAGGCGCGTAATTCGATTCAGTTCAAGGATGAAGTCATGGAGTATCTTCTCGAGCGCGATACGCAGCTCACATCTTTCTATCTCCATGGAGCCAACCTGCTTAGCGATGATATGTGGACCAGGTTTATTCAGGAGAAGGGTGCTTCCTTAGAAGAACTTCGCGTCTACTACACGGACAGACACTTCGGAGACGAAATCCTGGCTTTACTCCCGAAGAACTGTCCCAACCTCACCAGACTGAAGGCCTACCACAACCAGAAGATTACCAACGCCGGCATTAAGGAGATTGGTGAGGTCAAGAGCCTCCGGCATCTGGGCCTCCACCTGCAGAACCGCATTGATGCCAAGGTCATGGCGTCTACGATACTAAGCATTGGAGGAAATCTGCAGACGCTTTCTCTGCCATTGTTCCTCGACGCTACGGACGAGGTCTTGGCTGCTATCAAGAAGTCTTGTCGTTCTCTCAGAAAGCTCCGGATCAACGACAGCGATAAGCTTACCGATGCTGGCTTCGTTGATCTTTTCACCAACTGGGCCAATCCGCCGCTCGAAAAGATTGATTTTCAGAAGTGCTGCCATGTTGATTCCACCAACCCGCGGGAGAACCCAGAGAAGGTCGGTCTTTGCTCTGACGGACTTCGTGCTTTGATGAAGCACTCGGGTCGCAAGCTCAAGGATCTCAACATTCACGCCTGCCGTCACATCACGCGCGAAGCTCTGGAGGACGTCTTTGGGAAGGACAACCAATACACAGAACTGCTCAAGCTCGAGATCAGCTTCGTTGAGGAGGTTGACGATTACATCGTCGGCTGCATCTTCCGCAGCTGCCCCAACATCAAGGAGGTGAACGTATTCGGTTGCATGAAGGTCAAGGACGCCCCGGTACCCAGAGGCAAGGTGCTCGTTGGCGTCCCCAACGCTGTGGGTATGGTTACCGAAGGCAATGCGGACTAGATGCATACTGGGGGGGCCTTTTCCTTTCTGGAAAGTGTTTGAGTATACTACATGGGTCGGCGGAGAGGCATCATTTGGAAGATGCATTTTGCACAGGCGAGGACTCTATACAAGCAGGCCATGACAATTCGCAGTATTATACCCTTCTTTCAACGAAGGTTCATCAGAGAGTCGGTGGTTACTAGTGTGTTCCTGTTCATTAGCAGGCGTTGGGGGGACTTCTTTTCTTTGCTCTGTTCAGCTAGGAATACCCTAGACACCAATGAAGAACAAATCGTACTTGACAGTCTGATAGCTCGGCTCGGCGTAGAGAAACTCGGCGTTTCTGCGTGATGACTTGCGCTTCTCGGAACTGACTCTGACAGTAAAGCCGATACACACGGAAGAACGCAACGGGACCGTTTCTAACATTCGGGGTTGTGGCACCAAAACACACTCGCAACAGACGGGAACCCGGGCTAAGGTTGGCAGACTGGATAGGACACAGACACCGCCACGAATCCACCCGGAGGCGGTAAAGGTCAGCTTAGCTCAGCCTCAGCTCCCTGCGTAAGGCAAGGCCCAAATGTAACGGGGCAGCGGCTTGCGGGGCCTTTGACTGCAGCGTGCTGCGTGCCGTGCTGCGCGAGCGCACCCTTCGTGCTGGCGTTGAGTCTCCACTCTGAGTCCCGGCACCCTGCTTCGTGGTGGTGCTGGCCTAAACTTCCCCTGATTATTCGTATCCAACCAGCAAGCAGGCCGGTCTGAAGCAGCGCACCACTACCTACGGGCCGCCCCTTCTCGCCCACGACCTGCCAGGCATTTGCCCTTTCTCGAATCCCTCCCCTGCCGCCCCCGACCGCCATGATATTTCTTCCCTTTTAGTCTCTCTCCGAGTGAATTGGATGGATCTTGACCCTCCACAACCGTCGCCCGAAAACATGTCTCGACGCTGGGCGCGAAAGGTCGAGCGCTGCTGCTGCACCTTCGCGACCTACATCCCCTTATTCTTCGTCTACAGCTTGACCACATGGGCCGTATGGGTGGATGTCACCATCGGGTCCGCGCCCTCTAAAGCCACTTGGCTAGGTAAGTCTATACCGTGACGTCGGTCGCGTGCCATTCCCGCCCGTTCCCTTCGTGACGAGAACTGACGCTCTCCTCCTCTTCACAGGCACAGGTTCCTCTACCCTCGCCGTCCTCCTCTATGGCCTGCTCAACTGGTCCTACACGACCGCCGTCTTTACGAACCCCGGAAGCACGACAAACGACAATGGCTACAGCACCCTACCGACCGAGGCCCCTCCACCGGCCACGTCCTTCACCGTCAAGGCTAATGGCGAGATCCGATTCTGCAAGAAGTGCCAGGCGAGGAAACCGGACCGCGCCCATCACTGCTCCACCTGCCGTCGATGCGTCTTAAAGATGGATCATCATTGCCCTTGGCTGGCGACGTGTATCGGCCTGAAGAACCACAAGGCCTTCCTGTTGTTCCTCATCTACACGACATTGTTCTGCTTCTACAGCTTCTTCGTCTCGGGAAGCTGGGTGTACATGGAGGTCATCAACAACACGACGTACGTGGAGACGTTGATGCCCATCAACTACGTGATCCTCAGCGTCATGGCCGGAATCATCGGCATTGTCGTCGGCGCGTTCACAGGCTGGCATATCATGCTGGCGAGTCGCGGACAGACCACTATCGAATGTCTGGAGAAGACTCGCTACCTGTCCCCGCTGAAGAAGCAGATGCAAAACCAGTTCGTCGCCCAGCACAATGGCGAGGGCGTCCCCCTTCCAGCTTACGGCCAGCAACTGCTCGACATCCACGCCAACGCACTGCCAGGCATTACGCGACCCGAAGAAGGCGAAGAGTTCCGTGGACACCCTGGGGCTTCGAGGCCAGTACACCAATCCTACGAAGAGATGGAACGCGATCGCGCCAAGAAGCGTTACGAAGAGTACCTTGACGAGCAAGACTCTGAGAAACTCCCTAACGCCTTCGACTTGGGGGCAAAACGCAATCTCTTGCATCTTTTCGGACCTAAGCCGCTCTTTTGGTTCGTCCCCGTCTGCAACACCACCGGTGATGGCTGGTCATGGGAGCCCAGTCCTAAATGGATTGCCGCGCGTGAGAACCTGGCCAGGGAACGTGAGGAGCAGCGCGCCCGCGAGATCAACGCCGGCTGGGGTACTGACGAGCCGCCGCCGTCTTTCATGCGTCCCGCACCCACGAAACCCGACGGTGCCGGCCGCCACTACCTCACCACCCCGCCATCACCCCCGCCGCCCGCGAACGGTAGCCGCAACGACGCGCGTAAGATGCCGTCCAAGGCCGACCGGGTTCTTGGCCGTGATCCCAACCTGTACGCCGATGGCTTCCAAGAATCTATGCCGATGCGCAAGCTTAGTCCGCGCGGTACGGCGCTCGAGGAGGAGCTGACGGACAGCGACGTCGATATGGATGACGCGGCGGCGGCGGAGCACCGTGCCATGAACCTCGTTACCAACGGCGGATGGGGGAGGAGCGGCGCAAGCGGACTGCTGCGGAAGAGCAGCCCCACCTCCCCATCCTTCAGGACATCGCCGTCTAACGACGACACCGTGGACTAGATTAGAAATGCGACACAGGAAAGAAACCGGGAGGTATGTGACAAAAAATGATGATGGCGGGTTAGAAAGTGATATCCAACGCATATTCTCATCGGCGGGTTTGCAACGGCTCAATGGGAGGGGCATGACTGCGGCGTCGCTAGAGTGTATACGCATCCATGTACGATTTTTTTTATTGCAAAGGCGGGGGAGGGCCAAACCTCGGAAACTCGACGGATGGAGCATCTCAGAGATGTATATCGACATTTGTTTACCATTGGTGTTGGGGAGTGTTCGACTTTTTTTTCTTCACTGTCAGATTCTTTTCGCCTTCACGGGGCATCATATCCGATGAGGGACGGGAATGATAATGTTCGGTAGCATTGCCGTCACGAATTACAAGACATGTCTTATTAGTTCACTTGAATCTTACCGAAGAGTAGAGCATGAGTGCTTTGTTTGCTGCGATTCGGGAAAGTGATGTTTATGAAGGCTGTGTAAACTACATCTATCATTCCTGATCTCTCTCTAGTCTACCTCTTTGGCCAGATCACTCAGACTCAGAGTCGCTATAGTCACCCTCGCTACCATCCTCCTCATCATCATCCTCGTCATCTTCGTCGTCTTCGTCATCGTCGCCCTGGAATCCGTAGTCGTCGTGGAAGTCGGCCAGGGGCTTCACCTGGGTCTTGTATCCCATTTCCTTGAAGGCCTTGTCGATGTTCTGCAAGAAACATGTTAGCGTTATTGTCATCTCGACTTCAATCCGGGAAAGAACATACCTCTTCAAGAATCGGCGCGCAGGTGATGACGACGTTGCTGGTCTTGGGCTCGAAAAGCGGCATGATGAGCTCATTGAGCACGGCCTTGATCTGGTCGTTTGTGACGTCGCGGACGTCCCGCATGATCTTCTTGTGCCAGTCGAGCGGCAGGTTGCGCACGACGCCGAGCATGAAATTCTGCGCGGCCGCCGAGGCCATGGTGGACTGCTCGTCGGCGAACTGCACGACGACCTGGCTGATGGCGCCCTCCTTGAGGTGGCGGTCGATGGGCGTCTCGCCGTCGGCGATCTTGCGGATCGTCTCGCGCGAGGCGGCGAAGGCCTTGCTCGCGTCCGGGGAGCGGTAGACCTTGTACTGAATCGTGCCGGCGTCGAGCTCGCGGCCAAAGTACGAGCCGTACGCCAGGCCCTGGCCGCGGACGGAGTTCCAGAGGGGGCCCTCGGCGGACTCGAGGTAGCCGATGGCGACCATGATGGCGGGGAGGCGCGGGTCCTCGAAGGAGGTGATGCCCTTGGCCGTGCTGACGCCGAAGGAGCTGTCGGCGGTGGTCATGGGAACAATGACGGCGCCAACCTTGCCTGGCTCCTGGCCGTCGGGGGTGAGGAGGGTGTGGGGCTTGATGATGGGGATGAGGTCGTTGGAGCCCTTGAGGTTGTTGCTGAGGATGTCCCACGCGGCGATGGGTTCGGGCAGACGCGATACGTCGGCGGTGACGAGAACGCGCACGTTGTTGAAGGTGAAGAGGGACTTGCGGAGCTGCTCGAACCAGGAGAGGACCTTCTCCGGGTCCGAGGCGATGAGCTTCTTGAGGCGGCGGAGATAGACGGCGCGGACGAGCGCGCGCTTGGCAACCGAGTAGGATTCCTTCTTCTGGTGGATGGACACGTCTACCTCGGAGGCCATGGACCTACCGTCGCGCTTCATCTCGGGAATGTCGGCAAGGTGCTTCTGGACGCCAGCCTTAAGGCGCTGAATATCGAAGACGCTGTCGAACATCATAGTACGAACCCAGTTGATGACCGTGGAGTACTTCTCGCGCTCGATCTGGAATTGGATCATGACGCCGTCTGGGTCACCGTAGTCTCTGGTGGAGCGAAGGCCATAGCTGATGGTATCCTGTTCCAGCTCCATGACCACCTGCTCGAAACCGACCTTCTCTCCGTCGCGCATGATGGGCGTGTTGAAGAAGTTGTCGTTGAAGATGGGCAGCAGGGGCTTCAGCTCAAGAGGCACCTGGGACGTGCCCAAATAAATCGTCAAGTGAACAAAGTTGGTCGGGACGCTCTCGAACTGGATGAAGAGGGGGTCTTGACCTTGCTTGGAGCCATCGATGACCTTCTGCGCGGCATTGTTGGGCAGTCCTAGGCTCTTCGCCTTTCCGGCTCTCGCCGTGTCGGACTCGATAAAATGGATGGATTCAGTGCCGGGAACAGGCCATTGGTCGACGACAGCAGCAGGAATAGGCTCATCGTTCTTGGCCTTGGCAGCCTCGAGACGCTCCTTGAGCTTGGCCAAGCCCTCAGGGCCGAGCTTCTCCTTTCTCTCAGCAAGTCTCGCCTCCTCCTCAGCCTTCTGCTTCTTCGCAAGCTCGTGGGACGGCTTGCCAAGGATGGAAACGTGAGGGGCATCGGAGATCCACTTGCGGAGGAAATCCCTCCACTGCTCGTCCGTCCACTTCTCAAGAACATCGTACTCTGACAAAGACTCCAGCTCCTTGAGGGTTGAGCCGTCACGCTTGCCGAAAAGGTAGTCCGTGATGATGTTGGTGGAGTAGAAGCTCTCTGATTCTTCAGCCTGGAACTTGACCTGAAGGCGCTCGCGGTGAATGCATGAGGTCAAGTACTCCATATCAAGAGGCTTGTCAGCAACCTCCTTGAGAAGGTCGATCAGTCTCTTCTCGACAAACTCGAGCTTCTCGGTCTCGACACCAGTCGGCTGGAACCAGATGACAGAGTTCGGTCTCGCATCCCACCAGTATGTAACTGAGCTAGCGAGTTCTTCTTTTTCGACGATAACATTCTCGAGGATAGAGACAGACGAGCCACAGAGATAGGTCAGCAGGACATTAAGTGCCGACGTCGCTATAACGTCGTTGCAGTTGGGGCCAAAGAAGGCCACAGTAATTTCGCCAACCGACTCGTCTTCTTCAGGGAATTCGGCCGTCGTAATAATGGACTTCTCCAGAGCTGGAGGCTGTGCAGAGTCGATCCACGGTCTGAAAACACACGTCAGCATGGCAGGGTTCTAGCCGCCTGATCGTCATCTTACCTCTTGAACGGCGCGTCCAGGGGCGGCAAATCGTCCTTGATGCTCTCCTCGAACTCATCCAGAATTTGCAACAGATTGTCGTGGTCTGCCTCGCCGATGATAACGACGCAGAGGTTCTTGGGCTGGTACATCTCGCGATGGAACGAGCGAATGCGGTCGTTCGTCAGGACACGCAGCGCATCAGTCATCCCACCGGTCTCGTAACGAAAGCCAACGTTCTCAGGGTACAGGAGTCGGCGGGCCTTGAGATCCATGATCTCTGCGCTCTTAAACTGGACCGCCTGCATCTCCGAGTACACGACACCGGCATCGTTGCCCTCTCCGTCAATGTGATGCACCTCAGTCACACATGCCTCGTCAGTGAGAATGGGCAGGACGACGTGCTCGAGGTAGACGGGAAGAATCTGAGAGAAACCTTCCCAGCCAGCGCTCTCGAGAGTGTAGGCTGTGTGATCTGTTGCGGTCCAGGCGTTGGTCCCAGAGTAGGCTCGCGACGCCAACTTGTCGAGAAGGCCCTTGTAGCGGTAGTTTTTGGAGCCCATGAAGATCAGATGCTCGAGGGTGTGGGGAGCGCCGGAGTCATCGAGGATTTCGGTTGCGAGAGTGAAGTAGCCGTTGGTCTTGGGACCCTTGCGATCGGCCACAATGACCTGCATTCCACTTCGTTCCGATACATACTGGCTGATCGTACAAGGAGCATAGTCGGTCTTGAAGCTCTGGATCTTGCGAAACCGCGGCTGCGGCTTTGCTGCGGGCGACATGATATTTGAGTTTGTTGCTAGCTTAGAGTAATAACTTCTGTCCGGATGTAAGTAAGTATGCCTAGCAATCTCTTGAGGTAGGCGAGATTTCTAGAGAAGACAAAAGTCCATATTATAAGGGCGGGGAAGTGGGTGAAAGAGGAAGGTAATCAATGAGCCGGGGGTGTCATCGGTAAGGTAAGGTAAGGTAGTCATAGGCAAGCGCTTTCAATACGCGAGGAGTCAAAACAGACAACAAGCAAAATATTGTGACGACTGTCAAACAAATGAGAAGACAGCTAGAAAGGGTTTTCCAATCGCACAGGGATACGACCGGCCGCCAAATGGGCCGTTGCGTGCAGCGAGATGATGAACGGACGGATGCAGAGGTTTGTAACACAGTGTTGGACGTGGGTTGAATGTAGGTTTCAGGGGTACGAAATCTGTGTGCGAGACTGAGTTCAACTCGCAAAACAACATACGTTGTCCAAAAGCTTGGCAAGCTGTAATCTGGTTCGTGGCATGCGTTGTAGAAATAAGCAACTATTACAGCAACGGCAATAGCAATAGCCGCTTGGCCAGCTTTGAAGCTCGACATTCTGGCAACGATAATAAACGCAAGGTGCTTTAGGAATTTCGATTTAGATCAAAGGAGCATGCTGATTGAAGAGCAAGACTCTGTGCAGCCTTCTTCCAGATGCCATCGCGACATAACCAAGACCGGGAAGGTGGGGGATGAGTGACACAGAAGAGGGGCCAATCGGGCTCTCCATGGTAAAATTGATGCCTAGAAGACAGAGGAGGTAAGACGAGTAGAAAATGCAGCTGCTTACCTTACAGATAACCGCTTTGCCAGCCTGATGGACAGTGAAAGAATACACCAATGGGGTTTTTCCAAAGACACTGGCCGGCCCGTGATAGCACGAAGTAGCGGTTACCTCAACCGCCCGCCACAAAAGTTGCGAAGTGAGGTAGAAATAAACGACAAGCCGTGGATGTGCCGGATGTCGATGGCTTGAGTCCTGCAATCGCGACCCACGAATTTGCTTGACTTCTGTTGAGTTCTCCGTTTCCAAGTTCCCACAACTTCCAGGTTCAATGTGTCGTCGCGGGGCACGGGAACAATAGAGATGTCGGGTTACCGAAGAGGTCGATACAATGAGAGCACTGACCTAGTTGCCCCTCCATCGGCCAGGGCAGGGGAACGGTGGAGTTTATCTTCCCTAGCTGC